GAGGCGGTCCTGCTGGGGGTGCTACTGGTGCTGCTGGAGGTACTGGAGCTGGAGGTGCTGCTGGCGCTGGTGCTGCCGCTGGGGGTACTGGTGCTGTCCCTGCTGTGTCTGGAGTCGCCGCGCGGCCTAGGCCATACTTCGTTCCGCTCCTTCAGCAGGTTCTTGGTCTCCCGCCTTCTACTGGTCCTCCTCCTCCCTTAGAGTGTCCACAGCCTGTCCCGTCACAGTTACAGTTACAGCCAGCCTCCCCACTGCCCGCTCCTTCTCCCTACACTGGTCCTACTGGAGGTCTTGCTGAGCGTCGTGAGCCTGCGTCTCGCCCTGCGTCGCCTGTCCGTGCTGCTCGCACTAGTGGTCGTGGTTCGCGTTTGCGTCCTCCTCCTGTCCCTGGCACGCACCGGATGTCTCTGCGTCCGTCCACTGCTCCTCTGCGTGCCCCTTTGCCTTCTCCTCCTGAGTCCTCTCTTCCTGCTCTTCCTGACCCGGAGTCGGACTCTCTTCGTGCTGCCAGTCCTACTGTCACGCGTCTCCTTGCTACTGTTGTCACTGACCCTTCCTTTGAGTCCACTGCTGCGTCTACCCTAGTTACTGAGCTCGTCGACTTTGCTGCTCGCTGTCGTCTAGACTACGCTGCTAGTCTTGTTGCTGAGTCTGAGTCTGTCTGTCCTCCGTCCGTCGGGGGTGAGTGTGCCCTTGGCACGGACGTCCTTGAGGACAGGCAGGAGGAGTTCCAGTGTTTGGCTGCTGCTTCACCTCATCTCGTGTCCGTACTGCTTACCCCTGAGGGAGACCCGGATGCACTTGACATCCCGACTCCGCGCTCTTACGCGGAGGCGATAGAGGGTCCCTACTCCTCTCAGTGGCAGGCAGCTATGGACGCAGAGATGGCTTCCTGGAAGTCCACAGGCACCTACGTTGACGAGGTTCCCCCGCCTGGGGCGAACATCGTCAGTGGCATGTGGATTTTCAGGGTGAAGCGGCCGCCGGGTTCTCCGCCTGTCTTCAAGGCGCGTTACGTGGCTCGTGGCTTCAGTCAGCGGCAGGGAGTTGACTACTTTCAGACCTTCTCTCCCACCCCGAAGATGACCACTCTTCGGGTACTGCTGCACATAGCTGCTCACCGCGACTACGAGCTGCACTCTCTTGACTTCAGCACTGCTTTCTTGCAGGGCAGCCTGCACGAGGAGATCTGGCTGCGTCGCCCACCTGGCTTCACTGGGTCCTTTCCTCCTGGCACCCAGTGGAGCCTCCGGCGGCCAGTCTACGGTCTCCGCCAGGCACCGCGTGAGTGGCACGACACACTGAGGACTACACTTGCGGCTCTTGGGTTTGCTCCCTCTACTGCCGACCCGTCGCTGTTTCTGCGCACCGACACTTCTTTGCCGCCGTTCTACATCCTCGTGTACGTCGACGACTTGGTCTTCGCCACAGCTGACACTGCTGGACTCGCCCACGTGAAGTCCGAGCTGCAGAAGAGACACACGTGCACAGACCTGGGTGAACTGCGTAGCTACCTTGGCTTGCAGATCACCCGGGACAGAGCACGCCGCACCATTACCCTGACTCAGTCACACATGGTGCAGCAGGTCCTTCAGCGCTTCGGCTTCACGTACTCCTCGCCTCAGGCCACTCCTCTGCCTACTCGCCACTCGCTCTCAGCTCTGCCTTCGGATGAGTCCGTAGAGTCGAGTGGCCCGTACCCAGAGCTTGTTGGCTGCCTCATGTACCTGATGACCTGCACACGACCTGACCTTGCATACCCTCTTAGCATTCTTGCACGCTATGTTGCTCCTGGGAGACACAGACCGGAGCACATGGCTGCAGCGAAGAGGGTGTTGCGCTACTTGTGCAGTACGTCGGGCATGGGGCTTGTGCTTGGAGGGCAGAGTCCAGTGGTCCTCACTGGGCACGCAGACGCTTCTTGGGCTGACGACCAGGCTACGCAGCGGTCGTCACAGGGTTACACCTTCAGCCTTGGTTCCGGCTCTGTTTCGTGGCGGGCTACCCGCTCGTCTTCTGTTCTCGGCTCCAGTTGTGAGGCTGAGATCTACGCCGTGGCCATGGCTGCACAGGAGCTTCGCTGGCTCACCTACCTGCTGACTGACCTCGGAGAGCCGCCTCGTTCTCCTCCAGTACTGTACGTAGACAACAAGGCCATGCTGGCCTTGTGTCGAGAGCAGAGACTGGAGCACAGAACGAAGCACATTGCTCTCCGCTACTTCCTTGCTTGTGAGCTACAGCAGCGTGGTCAGTTGCGGCTTGCGTACGTGGCCTCTGAGGCCAACACTGCTGATATCTTCACCAAGGCACTTGCGCCTTGTCATCATCAGCGCTTCTGTACTCAGCTGGGTCTTGTGCCTACCTTGCCTCACTTGCTCACCCCTTGACCTTGTTTGTACTGTTGCATATATATATACACCTGCTCTTGCTTGTCTAGCCTTATATATATATGTAATCCTGCATGTGAACTGGCCTTGTGGCCTTGAACTTGTGCTCGGAATGTGTGGTGACTTTGTGATCCACCCTGAGCTTGTTTTGCTTTGCTTGACTGGTCTTGTGACCCCTTGTTCCCCCCCACTTTGCCTATGGGGGTGTGTCAGATTTATATGACATAGCTACTGTAGGCTATAGTGGGGTAGCACATATGGGGTACAGTTTTCCTAGGGTTTGCATTTGTACCCAACTTTCCCTTAGTCATTTCATTCCTCGTTTCTTCTCAAATTGCACCCGTAACAACTACGGACAAGACCCCACAGTACCCATGACCCCGAATCCCGACAACCCGGTGCCACGCGCGCAACAGTTTTCAGAAATTCTACAAGCAGCACGGACCCGAGCAGCAGACGCAATTAAAAAATTGAACATCATCGCTGAACGCAAAGCCGACCGCCACTACCGTCCCGTCACTTACGAGCCCGACGACCTTGTCCTACTCGATACCCAAAACCTCCGCCTGCCCATCGCCCAAAAACTCCGCACCGATGTTGCGGGCCATTTCACATCAGCCACATGATCACACCAGTCACCGCCCACCTCCTCTCCCCGCTGGCTGGTATGTCAGCCCACGTCAGCTTATTCCGCCCATACGTCCCCTCCACCAGCCAATTGCCTCGCAACCGCCCCGCTAGCATGATACGACCGCCAACGGAGCCAGTCATCACATCCGAGAAAATCTTGAGCCACCGAGTTCGTGACCCACGTGGAGCTCGCAAGACCGAGTTCCTGATCTGCTGGAAGGACTGCACACCGACTGAAGACAACCGGGTGCCCCTGGACAAGTTCGAAAACCACCCCGTCCTCACCCCCGTCCTCACGAAATTTCTGAGATGTACACGTACTCTCGAAAGGAGGGCTTCCTTGGGGAGGGGGGTGGTGTAAGGAAAAATCAATCTCCTTACTTCGCGCCCCAACTTACTCCGTATATGACTGTTCCCACCACTAGCACCCAACAGTAAAACGTTACCCGCTCGCGACGCTCGCCTCGACCACTATTCCCGCAACTGTACACCTCGCGACCCAACCTCACGGTTCGGTTGGCAACCCGCGCTCCAGTCCTCCACATCGACATTTCCCAACCTCGGCGCTAGGCCCGTAGCGTACCCCAATTTCTCGCGTTACCGCTACCACGCTAGCTTCGCTATATATTCTTCGCTCATGCCTTCCCTTGATGTATCTTTTCTTTTCAATAGTGCAGTTCTTGCTCGCTCGCTCAATTGCACTCATAACAGTAGCAGGTATGAACAATGTAAGGTTCTGCATTCTGTTATTTATTTGGCCTTCTCGATATAACAATCGTAAAAGGAGTTATGTTAGTAAAAGATCCGTGTCAGTCGAGCAATTTTCTGTTCTGGCTCTGTGCAAGTGTGTCAGTGCCAACCGAACCGCAAGCAGCACGCTTCGCTTTCGCTTCACTGACGTCACCAGCATCCCACCTCCTCCTCCCCTCCACGGCACACCTGCTCTCCTCTGTTCTGTTCATGGCACTGTACAAGACCCCCTCCCCCACCTGCACCACTCCACACCACATCACACCCAGACTCATTTTTTTGTCTGTTGGGGTGAACCGTGAACCTCACCATTGAGAGGGGGAGTCTGGTGGGTCCACTCCGCCCATCGACGCATTGCTCCACCACACTGACTTCGAACCATGGAACCATGTACTAAGAATTGGGACCACGCAGTCGAGTTTGGTTCTATGAGCAGCCATGCTGGCTTCGAATCGGACTAGGAGATCATATTAGTCTGGAGGGCGTCCTTTCCTGGTGGAGGTTGTTTCTTACCAGCTCACCTTCGTTCCTGGGTCTCGACGCATTTTCGCTAGTTGTGTTTGATTATATTAGTCAGTCACTACTAGCTGGTACATCAGTTACCATGCCTGTACACTACTGGCAAACATAGCAATTGCTCTAACTGCCTTATCAGGCAGTGAATTTCTTTAATCTCTTGAGGGAAGCTCGTAGCTGACACAACTAGTGCCAGCAGAGATGACGGGCTTCTTCGACAGAATACGAAGGTTCTTTAAAAAGCCGGAGCAACGAGAGGACCGGCTCTTTTATATTAACGACGCTGACAGCAACGAGGAATCTAGATTCAGCAGCAACAAGATCGCAACGACCAAGTACACGTGGTACACGTTCATTCCGCGAGGCCTCTTCGAGCAGTTCAGACGAGTCGCAAATTTCTACTTCCTGTTCAACGCGATCATTTCCCTCACGCCGCTCAGTCCCGTCATGCCCATCACCACCATCACGCCTCTCGTCTTCGTCATCGGCCTCGCCATGCTTAAGGAACTCTGGGAGGATATTAAACGCGGCGCATCGGACTACGAGACGAATAAGCGGAAAATACGCGTGATTCTTCCGGATGGGTCGGAAGCGATGCGGGAATGGAGAGAGTTAAGAGTCGGCGACATAGTTCAAGTAGAAGGCGACACGTACTTTCCCGCGGATTTGATCTGCTTAGCCAGCAGCAGCGACGACGGCTCGTGTTACGAAGAAACGATGAATCTGGACGGCGAGACTAATCTTAAATTGCGCCAGGCGCTTCACGAGACGTACTCGCTCGACGGGTCACAGCTGGCGAGATTAAGAGGCACTGTGGAGTGCGAGCATCCTAACGTCTCGATTTACACTTTCACGGGGAAGATGCGCCTCGAGGGCCTTCAAGAGACGCCTATTTTCCTCTCGCCGACTAACATTCTCCTCCGCGGCTCCAAGTTAAGAAACACGCGGTTCGCGGTGGGTCTGGTGGTGTACTCGGGGCGCGAGACGAAGATCATGATGAACGCCACGGATCCGCCGTCCAAGCGAAGCTTCGTGGAAAGGCGACTAGATTACGTCATCCTTTTCGAGCTCGTTCTCATGCTGTCTCTCGCGATCTTCCCCGCAGCGGTCTTCGCGGCGCGGCTGCCGTACCAGGAGCAGTACATGTGGTACCTGGAGCTGGATCAGAACGCGCAGCTCACGGGGCTTAACAAGGCGCAGTATAACGCGGACAACCCCGCCCTGGCGGGCGTGTTGCAGTTCTTCACGTGCCTCGTGCTCTATGGTATGGCCATTGCCGCTCCCTGTTGTCCCCCCTCCAGCTCATTCCCTCCATCTCCTTCCTTCCACTTATCCCCTCCCTTCTCATTCATCCCACTCTCCCCCCCCCTTTCATCCCCTCTCCTCTCATCCCCTCCCCTCTCATCCCCCCCCACTCATCCCCTCCCCCCACCCCTCTCATCCCCCCGTCTCATCCCCACCCCTCTCATCCCCACCCCTCTCATCCCCACGCCTCTCATCCCCACCCCTCTCATCCCCACGCCTCTCATCCCCACCCCTCTCATCCCCACGCCTCTCATCCCCACCCCTCTCATCCCCACTTCCTTGCACTACTGCTACTGCTGCTACTGCTGCTACTGCTGCTACTCTTGCTACTGCTCCTACTGCTGCTATGGCTAGTCCTACCGTACTCACCTTCGATGCTGAGGGACGTGCAGTTGACTTTGACGTGTGGGTTGACGACCTACAGCTTTTTCTTCAGTGTGATTCTAGGGATGGGGTATCCCTTTTCGATCACACGTCCGATGTTTCCACTGCTCCTGCTGCCACTGCTGACAGTACAGTTCGCTCGCAGTGGACCACTCGTGACATTGTTGCTCGTCTTGCTGTTCGTAGTCACCTGCCGCCTGCTGAGCGCGCACATTTTGGCCAGTACAAGACTGCTCAGTCTTTGTACAACGCTGTAGTTGCACGCTACTCCTCCCCTGCCACTGCTGCCCTCAGCCACCTCATGCTACCGTACCTTTTCCCTGACCTTGCCGCCTTTGCCACAGTTACTGACCTCGTTGCTCACCTTTGCACTAGTGACGCCCGCTACCGCGCTGCCCTTCCCACTGAGTTCTGTGCCAAGAACCCCCCCCCCATGTACATCACCCTTTACTACCTAGTCACCCGCCTCCCTGACTCCCTCTCTTCAGTCAGGGATCACTTTCTCTCCCTTTGCCCCACCGAGCTGTCTGTCGACCTGCTAGAGGAACGCCTTGCTGCGGCTGAGAAGAGTATCTTAGCTGTAGGTGCTTCTCGCGGCGACCGTCGCACCCCTTTCTTTGAGGGGTGTTCCCCTGTCCCCCTTCTCCCCTCTGTTGCTTCTGCTGCTGCTGTCGACCTCGTTGGCACTGAGGAGGTCGGAGCTGCGTCTGCCCCTAGTGGAAGACGCCGCAACAGCAGGGGCAAGGGGAGCAAGGGTGGTGGCGGGGGCAGCGGGGGAAGCAGTGGAGGAGGTGGAGGAGGCGGAGGAGGTGGTACCGGGAGTGGGGGCGTCAGTGGCGGCGGTGGAGGTAGTGGCAGTGGTGGCGGAGGTGGTGGAGGCAGCGGCAGCGGTGGTGGAGGTGGCGGCGGCGGTGGTGCTGGTCGAGGTGCAGCCGCGCAGCGTGGAGGCTTTGGTGGCAGCCAGCGTCAGCAGCAGCTGCGCTCCCGTGACACCCCGTCGGTTCAGCAGCTTCGTGAGTGGTACGCTGGGCGTGGGAGGTCTAGGGGTGCAGGTTCCTGCACTTACGTTCTTCGCACCGGCCCTCGTAGTGGGAAGGTGTGTGGGCTCCCACACACTACGCAGCGCTGCTTCGGTCGCTTGACTTACGCTTGGCGTGCTCTGTTTCCTGACGCCGTTGAGCTCCCTCGCTGGCATGATCTGCTTCTGCAGAATGTGCCTATCTTTGATCTAGATTTTGATGCTATCCTTGCTGCCATGTATGCTATTGCTGATAGTACTGAGGGTGACTGTTACCTGAGTGTCCCGCCCGACCCGGGCATTGCGGCTGCTGCTCTAGGTGCTAGTGCGTCTGCTGCTCCAGGTACTGGTGCGTCTGCTGCTCCAGGTGCTGGTGCGTCTGCTCTCTCTGGTACTGCACCTACTGAGTCCTTGCACACTTTCACACTTGACTCTGGTGCTTTGCGCTCTTTCTTTAGAGACAGCACCACGCTCACGCCGCTTAGTCGGCCTGTTGCAGTCTCCCTTGCTGACCCCTCCGGGGGCCCAGTCCTTGCACACTCTTCCACGGTTCTACCGTGTCCTGCGGCCCCGTCGGGCTTGCTGTCGGGACTCCACCTCCCCTCGTTCTCTACGAACTTGGTGAGTGGAGCTGACCTCCAGGACGCGTGGGTTGACCAGTTCACCCCTGGAGGTCAGCGTGTGACCCACTGCACTTGCTCTCGGGCGGGCCGCCACCTGGCCACGTTCACCCGTCGGCCAGGGTCGAGTCTGTACACACTGACTACTGCGCCCCCTCCGGTCCCTGCGTCTGGTCAGGTAGCTGCGTCTAGTCAGGTGTTTGCTGCCGCATACAGGTCTAGTCCTGCGTCTGCCCCCTGCTCGTGTCGTCCTCTGTCGCACGAGACTCTCCTTTGGCACCACCGCCTTGGTCACCCCTCCTTGCCTCGTCTTCGAGGTATGGCCTCCCGTGCCCTTGTCTCGGGTCTACCCCGGTCTCTCCCTCCCCTTCCTCCGGGGCCTGCCCCCACCTGTGTTCCTTGTGTCGAGGGCAGGCAGCGCGCCGCTCCTCACTCCTCCTCGTTCCCTCCGACTGAGGCTCCTCTGCAGACTCTTCACATGGACGTGTGGGGCCCAGCCCGCGTCCGTGGACAGGGTCACGAGCGTTACTTCCTGCTGGTCGTTGACGACTACTCGCGTTACACCACAGTCGTCCCCTTGCGCAGCAAGAGTGAGGTCCCTGAGGTGTTGATCGACTGGATCCGCGGTGCTCGTCGCCAGCTCAGTGAGAGTTTCGGCTCGGACCTTCCTGTTCTGCGTCTGCACTCAGACAGAGGTGGGGAGTTTTCCTCCGACCTCCTGAGAGCCTTCTGTCGTTCGGAGGGCATCCGCCAGACGTTCACGCTTCCGGCCTCCCCGCAGCAAAATGGGATTGCTGAGCGCCGCATTGGCATGGTCATAGACGTCGCTCGTACGTCCATGATCCATGCGGCTGCTCCCCATTTTCTGTGGTCGTTCGCGGTTCAGTACGCTGCGCATCAGATCAACCTTCAGCCTCGTGTCTCCTTTCCGGAGACCACACCTACTCTGCGGTGGACGGGGAAGGTTGACGATGTGTCCGCGTTCCGTGTCTGGGGATCTCGAGCTTTTGTCCGCGATACTACAGCGGACAAGCTGACCTCCCGTGCCGTTCCCTGTGTCTTCCTTGGCTTCCCTCCTGACGCACCCGGGTGGCAGTTCTACCACCCCACCTCGCGTCGTGTTCTGTCCTCTCAGGACGTCACGTTTGACGAGTCGGTGTCGTACTACCGTCTCTTTCCCTACCGCACTGCCTCTCCCCCCCCACCGCCGCTCTTCCTCGCACCAGGTACTCCCCCGGTAGACCCCCTCCCCCCCCAGGGTCCTGCCCCCTCAGGTGTGTCCCAGGTAGACCCTGCCGAGCTGGTCGAGGTAGCTGTCAACTCAGGTGCTACTAGGGGTGCTGAGCCTGCGGGTGCGGGGACTGGGGGTGCTGAGTCTGGGGGTGCTGAGTCTGGGCGTGCTGAGCCTGGGGGTGCTGAGCTTGGGCGGGTGGAGCCTGAAGGTACTGTGTCTGGAGGTGCTGAGCCTGTGCGTGCTGAGTCTGGAGGTGCTCTAGGTGTCCCGCCGCGGCGGGAGCCTCTCTCTCCACAGCAGCTTCATGAGTGGTACTCTCGGCGCTGTCGGGGTGCTGCTGGGGCTTCTGGAGGTGCTGCTGGTGCTGGTGCTGCTGGAGGTGCTGCTGGTGCTGGTGCTGCTGGTGCTGGAGCTGCAGGAGGTGCTGCTGGTGCTGGAGCTGCTGGAGCTGCTGGAGGTGCTGCTGGTGCTGGAGCTGCTGGAGGTGCTGCTGGTGCTGGAGCTGCTGGAGGTGCTGAAGGTGCTGGAGGTGCTGCTGGTGCTGGAGCTGCTGGAGGTGCTGCTGGTGCTGGAGCTGCTGGAGGTACTGCTGGTGCTGGAGGTGCTGGAGGTGCTGCTGGTGCTGGAGCTGCTGGAGGTGCTGCTTGTGCTGGAGCTGCTGGAGGTGCTGCTGGTGCTGGAGCTGCTGGAGGTGCTGCTGGGACTGGAGACCCTGGGGCTGAGGGTACCGGTTCTGTCTCTGCTGTTTCTGGAGGCGCTGCGCGGCCGCGGCCGTACTACGTTCCGCTTCTTCAGCAGGTTCTTGGCTCCCCGCCTTCTCCTGGTCCTCCTCCTCCTTTCCTGAGTCCACCGCCTATCCAGTCCCAGTCGCGATTCCAGCCAGCCTCTCCACTGCCTGGTCCTTCTCCTTACTCTGGACCGACTAGAGGTCTTACGGAGCGTCGTGAGCCTGAGTCTCGTCCTGTGTCGCCTGAGTCTCGTTCTGCGTCGCCTGTCCGTCCTGTTCGCGCTGGTCGTGTTTCGCGTCCGCGTCCTCCTCCTGTCCCTGGCACTCACTCTATGACTCTGCGTCCTTCCACTGCTCCACAGCGTGTCCCTCTGCCGTCTCCTCCTGCGTCCTCTCTTCCTGCCGGTCCGGACCCTGCGTCTGACTCCCTACGTGGTGCTAGTCCAGCTGTCACGCGTTTTCTGGCCACTGCTGTCACTGACCCTTTGTTTGAGTCCACTACTGCGTCTGCTCTTGTTACTGAGCTTGTTGCCTTTGCTGCAGCTTGATGTCTCGACTACGCCACTAGTCTTGTTGCTGAGTCGGCGTCTGCGTCTGTCTGTCCTCCGTCCGTCGGGGGTGAGTGTGCTCTTAGCACGGACGTTCTTGAGTGCTTTGCCGCTTCTGTACCTCATCTCGTGTCCATGCTGATTGCCCCTGAGGGAGACCCGGATTCTCCGCCTGTCTTCAAGGCGCGTTACGTTGCACGTGGCTTCAGTCAGCGATAGGGAGTTGACTTCTTCCAGACCTTCTCCCCTACCCCAAAGATGACCACTCTTTGGGTACTGCTGCACGTTGCCGCCCAGCGTGACTACGAGCTCCACTTGCTTGACTTCAGTACAGCCTTCCTCCAGGGCAGCCTGCACGAGGAGATCTGGCTGCGCCGCCCACCTGGCTTCACTGGGTCGTTTCCTGCTGGTACCCAGTGGAGCCTCCGGCGGCCAGTCTACGGTCTCCGTCAGGCACCTCGTGAGTGGCACGACACACTCAGGACGACTCTTGCTGCTCTTGGCTTTGCTCCTTCCACTTCTGACCCTTCTCTGTTCTTACGCACTGACACTACTCTGCCGCCGTTCTACGTTCTCGTATACGTAGACGACTTCGTCTTTGCTACTGCTGACACTGAGGCACTCGCCCACGTAAAGTCCGAGCTGCAGAAGAGACACACGTGCACTGACCTGGGTGAGCTGACAAGCTATCTTGGCTTGCGGATCACCCGGGACAGAGCACAGCGCACCATTACCTTGACTCAGTCACACATGGTGCAGCAGGTCCTTCAGCGCTTCGTCTTCACGTACTCCTCGCCACAGTCCACTCCTCTGCCTACCGGTC